TGAAGTTTCCACCTTCATCTCTCATTCCTAATGTGGATTCTTCTTCTCCATTTCTCACCCCTTTCAAAAACTCCACTGAGTCAACCTGGAAAAAAGTGGAGGTGAGGCGGGCCGGGCCGGGCCCGCCCCAGTGGTAGGAAGGATGGCGCTATTTTCCTTTGGCATGAGAGGCGACCTCCAGGGAAGGAAGAAAAGGAAGAGGAACAAGTCATGGTCAACCACCTACCAGAGCCCCATCCCAGGCTTCTCACTCAAACCAGACTCTTTCCAACCACGGAATCAAATATCCTTTTCTGGAAGGTGTTGGCCCCTTTCAAACCCTCAGACTTAATAAATCCTCGAAAAGTACTGGGCCTGGGGCGCCTGGGTGGCTTAGTCGGTTAAGCGTCCGACTTTCGCTTAGGTCATGGTCTCGCAGTTCGTGGGTTCGAGCCCCGCGTCGGGCTCTGTGCTGGCTGCCAGCTCAGAGCCTGGAGCCTGTTTCAGTCTGTGACTCCCTCTCTCTCTGAGCCTCCCCTGCTCACGCTGTCTCTCTCTCTCTCTCCTAGAAATAAATAAAACATTTAAAAAAAGGAAAAAAAAAAAAAAGAAAAGCACTGGGCCTAAGACGGCTCCTAACTTTCAAAGCTGAAGCAGCCCAGATCATGCTTAAAAATGATTATTAATTGGCAAATTCTATGTGATAGATATTTTATCACAATTCTAAAAATAGTGTAATATACCAGAAATCATTGAACTGTATACTTTTCACAGGTGAACTGTATGGTATGTGAATTATATCTCAATAAAATGGGTTGGAAAGAAAACAGAGAGCATGTCTGTATGGATCATTGCTGTATCCGCAGTGGGTGTCAGGCACACAGAAGGTGCTCAAGAAGTGCATGAAGTCTGTTTGCAAACAACCTCCCCCATCTGCTCAGCCCTCAGGAACTCGGCCCGGCCGCCTCCTCTGATTCTGGCTGAGAGGCGGCTTGCTCTCTACCGCTGATTTAATCTGCGTGGACAGATTAAGCTGCTTGGCAAAGCTGGCTCACCTCTCAGTCTCCACAGGCCCCAGATCAGAATTCTCAGAGTGAGTCTCCGTCCCGCATGCCCTAGCATGAGGAGGCTGGCTGGGACCTGGGGTCACCTGGGTCTTCCCCTGGCTTTCAGGAGAACCAGCTCTGGGACCCTGGGCAAAGTCACCTGGCCAAGAGGCCTTCTCTAGAACCAAGCCAGGGAGAGGCTCGCCTAGAACGCTCTCTTCTAGTCGCCAGGCCAGGGCAATTGTCCACTCAGGAAAGGCAGATTCTGTGAGATCACAGGACAAGGGAATACGGCTGACAGTAATGGCACCAGCAGCAGTAGCTCGCGGGTCTTCCTTCTTCCACGCTAGTCCCCTGTGCTAGTTGGCAGCCAGTCTCCCAAGATGACGGAGAGTGATATGTGTTTGTCACTCCCCCTTGAGAAGGGGAGTCGAGTCTCCCACCCTTCAGTCTGGGGCTGGCCTGTGCCCGCTCTGGCCGCTAGCACATGGCAGAAGTGAAGCCATAGGTCTCTAGCCTGGTTTTTAACAGAGCCGACGGATTAGGCTTCCAGATTCTTGAGGCCCCGAGCTGTCACGCGAGAAGTCCAGGCCACTCTGCTGTAAAAGAAGGCCACATAGCGGGGCACCGAGAGTCACCGACATGAGTGCGGAAGCCATCCCAGAAGTCCAGCCCCGTTGAGCCTGCAGATGACTCCAGACCGAGACATCGCCCGACTGCCATCTCATGAGAGACCCCAAGCGAAAACCACCCAACTGAGCCCAGTCCACTCACAGAACTGTCAGAGAGAAGAACACTTTGTTGTTTTAATCTAGTGCCGAGGTAGTTCATTACACAGCAATTACTAACGAACACCCTCCCCGTGGTCAATTCCCAACACAGGAGCCAGGCTGTCCTTTTAAACACATAAATCAAGTCATGTCATTCTCCCACTCAAAACCCTCCAAGGGACTGTTATTTCCTTTTCTCTACAAATGTCTATGCACACGCACTTGTGTGCGGAGTGTGTGGTGCATGTGGGGTGTGTGCAGATTTACTCATTTCACTTATATACCACAGAACACATAATCCGAGCATTTCAACTGTACAGTTTGGGAAGCCCTCTGGCTCAGTCGGTAGAGCAGGCAACTCTTGATCTCAGGGTTGTAAGTTCGAGTCCCATGTTGGGTGTAGAGATTACTTAAAAATAAAAATCTTGAAATAAATATAAAAATAAACTACACAATATATTGGGAATTGTGCATCCATTACCACCATCAATTTTAGAACAATGACATCACCCCCAAAGGAGGCCCCATACTCATTAGCAGTCACTATCCGTGTCCCCTCAGCTCCCCCAGCCTCTGCACCTGCTAATTTATTTTCTGTCTATAGATTTGCCCATTCTGGCTGTTTCCTATAAATGGAATCACACAACACGCGGCTGTCTGTGGCTGGATCCTGTCACTGAGTATCGGGTAGGTAAGATGCACCTATGGTGTGGAGTGTATCAGAACTCCGCCCCTTTCGAGAGCCAAAGAATATTCCATTCTGCACATAAATGACATTTTGTTCATCCCTCCATCCGTGGACACTGGGTTTTCCCTACCTTTGGCTTTTACCAATAATGCTTCTATTAAGTTATGTGCAAATTTTCGCGAGGATTCAGGTTTTCAATGTCTCTTGATAGACACCTCGGAGTAGAACTGCTATAGACAGCCAGACAGCTGTCCGATGCAGCTGTACCTTCTCACCTGCCGACCAGCACTGTATGAGCTTTCTGATTTCTCCACATCCTCACCAACACCTCCTACTGCCTGTATTTTGTATTGTAGCCACATCCTGCTAAGTATAAAAAACTACTTCAGGGGCGCCTGGGTGGCTTAGTCGGTTAAGCGTCCGACTTTCGCTCAGGTCATGGTCTCGCGGTTCGTGGGTTCGAGCCCCGCGTCGGGCTCTGTGCTGACAGCCAGCTCAGAGCCTGGAGCCTGTTTCAGTCTGTGACTCCCTCTCTCTCTGACCCTCCCCTGCTCATGCTGTCTCTCTCTCTCTCTCTCTCCTAGAAATGAATAAAACATTAAAAAAAAAACCAACTACTTCATTATCACTTGGATTTGCATTTCCCTTGCGATGGCCTAATGGCGCTGAGCATCTTTTCATGCGCTCATGGACTGTTTGCCTGTTTTTGGAGAAATGTCCGCGCAGCTCTTCTGCCCATTTTTAAATTTCGGTTATTTGTATTTTTATTATGGAGTTGTAAGCAGTCTTTATATTTTCTAACGAGAAGTCCCTCATTGGGTACAGGATTTGCAAATGTTTTATCTCCCTCCAGTGGACTTTTAGCGCATGCAGAATAAAATCTAAATTCCTTAGTAGGGTTGAGAGACCCACCTGGTTTTGACCCCTGGTGCCCCCCTCTCCCCCCTCCCCCTCCCCCTCCCCCGCCACAGTGCTCCTTCCGCTCTTGCTGGTCCTCCAGACGGTCAGGTTCAGCCCAGCCTCAGGGCTTCCGCAAGCACCTGCCCCTCTGGGTGGCTCACTCCCTCCCCTCAGGACTCTGCCCAGATGTCACCTTCTCAGGGAGGACAGGCCATTCGATCTAAAATACCGCTTTTCTCCCTATCACGCTCTTTCCCCTCAGCCGGCTTTATTTTCCTCCTAGCAGTGACTATCACCTGACATTGTATTACACACTTATTTGCCTAAACTGCCTCCTATTAGAATCTCAGTGCCATGAGGGCACAGGGATGCTATCTGTTCTGTACGTTACTATACCCTAAACACAACAAGCATGCCGGGCACGTGGTGGGAAATCAATAAATATTTATTAAATTTTAAATACATCTATCCCTATTTAATAAATGCGTACTATGAGCCAACCACTCTGCAAAGCACTTCAAATAAAGTATCTTACTTTATCCCCACGACAATACTATGCTACGGAGGTAGGTACTATCAGGACTCCACTTTTTTAACAGACAAAATGACCCACAGTAAGAGAGTGGAAATAATGGACCTACTGGGGTGACTGGGGGCTCAGTCGCTTGAGCATCTGACTTCGGGCTCAGGTCATGATCTCACAGTTTGTGAGTTCGAGCCCCCTATCGGGTTCTGTGCTCACAGCTCGGAGCCTGCTTCGAGTTCTGTGTCTCCCTCTCTCTATGCTCATGCTCTGTCTCTCTCTCTCCCTCAAAAATGAACACATCTTAACAAAAATCCGATAACGGACCTGTGATCTCACACACAGGAAGGGCGGAGCCAAGGCGAAACCCAGGCCGTCTAAGCCGTGCTGCTCCTCGCCCCACTATTAACTTGGGCAAGTCACGGACCTTGCTCTAAGCCGCGGGGTCCTCTCTAGGGCAGGGAGTAGCCTCCTGCTTTACGGAGTTACTGAAAGACTGGCCTGGTGAGGTCAAGTACAGCACTGAGCCACAGCAAAGAAGATGGAGCACGGTGGTGGTGGCACGGATGCCATGCCATCAGTGCTCTGTCAACAAACACGGCGACATCGTCGGCTAAATGGTTCAAACGCATCGTGTGTACACACTGCTCTCTTTTAGACAATGGCTCGACTCACAGCGGGCAGACCAGCCCACTGTAGCCACTGAGGGTTTCAGAGGTATTCAGGTGGAGTGCGAGAGGTTTCCTGAATGTTCACCAAGGGAAGGGGACACGAGATAACATCACGGACCTTCTAAGACTTCAACGAGAATGTGCTAGAGGGCCTGTGAAGATGGGATCTCAGTGGCCTGTTAGACACAGGAGCCCTGGGCGTCGTGCAGGGTAGATGTTTTCACGGGGCAAGGTCACACTTGGACATTCCTGCCACCCGGCCCCACACACGAGAGTAGCTGAACGTGGCACAAGCCATCCCCACCCACAGCTCCCCAGGACAGGGCTGGAGCTCACGTCGCTAAGAGAGGGTGCCGCCGAGCTCCCTGGCATGCGTGCGCTGGCACGCTGGAGGACTTGAAGGACGGGAATCCGCCAACTCACCGGTATGGGTCTGCCTGTGCGTCTCCAAGGCATCCTCCTTTGCAAACTGGGCTCCGCACTGGTCACAGACAAAGGCTTTGGCACCCGCTGCAAGAAAGGGGAGGCAGTTACTCGAGAGCGATATTCCATTTGCCGGCAAGGGGTCCTGGGCCAGAATTGTGCAGGTGGACCCCCACGTGAGGCGGCTGGACCCCCGCAGAGAGCTGAGTCAAGGACAGACCTTGGCCCTGGCAGCCAGCCCGGTCCCTCCTCCGGGATGTGACCACCCACCCAGCTGAGCTCCAGATGCCGTCATCCAGGGGTCTCCGGGACAAAAGAGGGAACAAAACCAGAATAACCAACATAAGCAGAGACGGGGTCCGGATGGGATGCCCCAAGAAGCCGGATTCTGGGGGGCTGGCTCTACGTGAGGAATGCAAAGGCGTAAAGAATATAATGAGGGGAGGGGCGTCTGGGTGGTTCAGTCAGTTAAGCGTCTGACTCTTGATTTCGGTTCAGGTCATGATCTCACAGTCCGAGAGTTCGAGCCCCGTGTTGGGCTCTGAGCTGAACAGTGTAGAGCCTGCTTGAGATTCTCTCTCTCTCTCTCTCTCTCTCTCTCTGTCTCTGTGCCTCCCTCCTCTCAGAAATATATAAACATTTAAAAAAAAGAGAATACAATGAGGGGAAATGGGCCCCTTTGCTTAGACTACACCTTATGGGAAGGTAGGAATTGCTGACCTACCTCTACTAACTCAGTATGTCCCAAACTAGACGGTCTGTCCCATCCACCCCCTGCACTTGACCACTTAAAATCCCTGAACGACTCCCCTGTGTCTTCAGGATGAAATCCAAACTCCTTGCCAAGACGCACAAAGGACTTCTTGACGTGCTCATCTTTCCTGCTTCATCTCTCACTCCCACTCTTGCTGCCTGGTCTCCAGTCCCGCTCAGGCAGCCTGGGTCCCTCACTGAGAGACCTTGCACATCCTCTGGCTCCTCTTATGGGCTCACTCCATGCACAGCCCCATCTGCCCGACACCCAGCGGGAGCCTATTATTGGTCATATTCAGTGCGAATCAAATTGATAAACTTTTGAAGAACCATTATTTACAAGGCTCAGAGCGACAATGCCACAGGGTCATGACAAACAGGACCTTTTCCCAGTCGCTAACAGTCTGCAAGGCTCTAATATGTTATTTCATCCACAGGGCACCTGTCACAAGCCTTGGAAGTTTTCATTCAAAGTGTTTATAGGGGCGCCTGGGTGGCGCAGTCAGTAGAGCGTCCGACTTTGACTCAGGTCACGATCTCAAGGTTTGTGAGTCGGAGCCCCTGCGTCAGGCTCTGTGCTGATAGCTCGGAGACTGAAGCCTGCTTGGGATTCTGGGTCTCCCTCTCTCTCTGCCCCTCCCCTGCTCGTGCTCTCCATCTCTCAAGAATAAATATAAAAATGGGGGGACATGTATGCCCCTCTTAAAAAAATACCTTCTAGATGCATCTCCTCCCCTGTGTACTGATGGTCACTGCCCCTACCCAGGCCCTTGCTCGGTGGGGCCCAAGGATGGCTGCCTACCACCAGGTGTCCTTGGACTCACCCAGTAGATGCCCGTGCCTTAAAAGCCCACTTGCTTCCGTCACACTTGTCGCTTGAGAAGTTACACGGCTCAAAATTTACACTGACTCTGAGTTCCTCCACATGGCACTGAGGCCCCAGCCATCAGCCACCCAGCTCCATGGGCGCTGTCTTCACCGGCCCTCAATGGAGCCACTCACCCCTCCCTGAGTTTGAGCACAGCCGGGGCCCAGGTCTCGGTCTGTTCCTGCCCCATTCCATTCTCAGGACCGGGTGTGCACGCACGGAGCACACCGGCTCCCCTCTGCCCTGACCTCTCCGGCATGCCCTGCACTTTGCTCCCTTCTATGCATCTTAGCGCTGCCTCGAGTGTGCCTGTGTGTTACTTTCACATTAGAGTCTTGTAAGAGGCAGAACTTCTTACTCATATTTATAGTAGAAAATTAGGGCTGCTTCCCAACCATCTCAGATTTCCTGAGACTTTACCATATACCAGGCACGATGCCAAGGGTTTAAGGTGTATCGTTTCCTTTGATCTTAACAACCTTTAAAAGTCCACAAACTGCTGGAGCGCCTGGGTGGCTCAGTGGGTTATTTCCCACTTTGGCTCAGGTCACGGTCTCACAGCTCGTGAGTTCAAGCCCTGCATCAGGCTCTGCGCGGACAGTGTAGAGCCTGCTTGCGACTGTCTCTTTCTCCCTCTCTCGGCCTTTCCCCCACTGGTGCTCTCCCTATCTCAAAATAAATTTTTAAAAAAGGATCCTATTGGGGCACCTGGGTGGCTCAGTCGGTTAAACGCCTGACTTTGGCTCAGGTCAAGATCTCGCGGTTCGTGGATTAGAGCCCTGCATTGGGCTCTGTGCTGACAGCTAGCTCAGAGCCTGGAGCCTGCTTCAGATTCTGTATCTCCCTCTCTCTCTGACCCTCCCCTGCTCACGCTGTCTCTCTCTCTCTCTCTCTCTCTCTCAGAAATAAATAAAAACATTAAAAAAAAATTTTTTTAAAGGATCATATTGCTATTACCCCATTTAGTAGATGAGAAAACCCAACCTCAGAGAGATTAAGTAGCTAGATCGGTGTCACACAGTGGGTACCAGAAGTGGATTCAAACACAGGGAGCCTGACTTCAGAAGCCTTTGCTCTTAATCTCTGTACTCTAGGGCTCTCTCTGCAAAGATGCTTCATGGATAAGAAGGTGAGGTACGGGCTTCCTTCCCCCAACTCAAAAAAAACATTCTAATACACCCTGTGTATACATCAAAGTTGTGTGTAAAATTCTAGCTGGAGAAATGATTCCACTACTTTTTAATAAGTTTTAAAAACCTCTGCCTTCGAGTAATAGCGCTACTATAAAGACCAGAACTCAGAATACAATTTGCACCATATAGGCTTAATTAAATTAAACAGCAATAACCAGTCCTTGCCAGCGAAGGGCAGGGTAGAAGGAAAGGTAGAAGGTAGACCCTGCAAGAGCACCGACCTTGTCTATATTCCAAATGATGAGCAAAATGTACCCTCTGCTAGGTGCTCAATAAATAGGAGTTGACTGAGTGACTGAATGATAAAGTGCCCTTAGGGAAGATACGGAGTCATGTTTCCTTAAGAGCGTTAAATATAAATACTGCCATTTGTATTAGGTGGCTGGAGCTGAATTTTGCCTGGAGACAGGGAGGTCTTGATCACTTCCAGGTTGTCTCTTCAAGCCTCAGGGTATCCTTGGGCCCAGGACCCGTATGTGGATTCTGAAGCTTTAAGAAAGAGCTTTTGAAGAAACTTGATGGTAAGATAGTCACAGTGCGGGCTCACTCAGGTGGCAGCCGGACCACTTTCCATCCATTTATTCTGGATATGCAGCCAGGACCTCAAAGAGCACATGGACCGGGGTGTGTGGGGGGTGGGGGGTGGGGGGGGTGGATGAAGTCACAGCCTTCTGGCAGTGAGGAATTCTCCCCAGTCCTGAATCATTAGTCAGCAACGATTTTCTGTGATTTGTAAGGGATCGGGCTTTAACTGCACTTCTTTCTTGGGTCCTGAACAGTTCTCACGGCTCCCTAAAGAAGCAAGCGGATGGGGAGGCCCGAGGAGGGAAGCAGGGACTGGGAAGCCCTGTGGGCTCAGCCTCATGCGGGAGCCCTGCACCCAGGTGAGGAACCTCTACGCCGCCGCCTCGAAGGGATGTGGTAGGGAGGGTTCTTAGAACGCAGCCATCAACGCGGCCATAGTAGCATCTGTTTTAATGACCGGGGAGCAGAGAGAAAGGAAGGAGGCCGGGTAGGAAAAAAAGGGCCGGATGTGTGTACCATCAGCCAAGTTCAGATGAAGATGAAAACAGATTAGCACCTGTGATCTAGTCAAGGCTGCCGGCTCGGCCCAAGCCTGACCACATCTGGTTACCCTCAGAGCCTTCCCCTCTCCACCCCTGCCCTGCTGAAATCACAAAACCGAGCCGAGCGGGTGAAAGTTCCTTGGCCTCCTCAGTGTAGTCTGACGCACCCAGACCGGTCAGGACCCTCGGCACACAGGGACACCGCAAAGGTTGGCTCCCACTTTGGGCCCCACTTTGGGCCCCACGCGCAAAGCCTTAGTACTTCCCCTCACCCACTGAGACTCTCCCCAACTCCCCAGGGCGAGCCCCGCGGCAAAGACAGGCAGTTCCAGGGCAGAATCCCCCTCTTCCCAAGGAGGCATGTGCCTTTAAATTGTCTCTGTAATGGCTGGCTCAGAGGCAGAAATATTTGGCAGCCCTGAAATTAAAAGTGATAAATTTCCTCGCCAAGCCTTGATCAATAATAGAGGCCTCATCTGTTAATCAATAAGACAGTCTCTGCCTGTTTACTGTGCATATGTTGTTCGCTGCTGCCTTCAGTAGGATGTCGGGTTTGCATTCAAAGCAATTCAAGTGTTTATAAACCACATGGCTATTCCCAAAACGCATTACGGTGACATCATTCAGCCACTAATACATTTATAAAGCATCAGTGAGAGGGAGGGATGGGGGGAGGAAGGAGGCCATGCCAGTTGAACACAATGGGTGCACGTGGATAGATCAGCCTTTACCCCAGAATTTCCTGGGGCTCCTCCTGGAGTGGGGAGAAGGCCACGCCACAGCTCAGGGATGACCACGCCTCATCAGATCTTTCCCACGCACAAGGATGTTTTTTGGATGTCCAGTCAGAATCAGTGCCCAAAGGTGCCAGTCAGTGCCCAAAGGTGGGTTATGGCGAGTGAACAAAAGAGAATCCCTGTCCTCAGGAAGCTTACATTCTAGAAGGAAACGCACATTTTAAAAAAACCCAGTAAATACAAACTAGGCGGTGATTAAGTGATAAAAAGAGAAATAAATGAAGTGAAGAGGGACAGAGAGGGCCAGGGGCCACCATTTTATATGGGGTAGGCAGGGAAGACCTCTCTGATGAGCTGGGCTCTGAGCGCAGAAGCTGAAAGGGGAAAGAAGAAACAGCCCCGTCTAAGGAAGCCCATTCCAGACAGAGGAGGAGCGAGGAGGCCGGTGGGCTGGAATGGAGTCAGTATG